CGTTGTATTTTGGACAGCAGGGGAAATATCCCTGATGAACAGGTATGCATTTTCCAGGTAACCACGCCGTTGCTGACCTGGGCACGGCAATTACCATTCCAGAACGCTACACTCCGCACTGCTACGTTGGAAATTTGACTAGATAATACCGATTCAGTCGAATTATGCCGGCAGATGTTTTTGTGTTGTAATGAAAAACCCAGTCTTACGGAGTAGCGCATCTCTGGCAGCAAACTAGAAAAAAAAAAAAAAGAAGGGGCAGGCGTTCGGCGGTACGAAGCCGAGTCGGAGCCGATCCCTCTATACCACAGCCACCTGGAACGGTCACGGTTTATTCCTTGAGACGGCCGCTGCCCCACAGATTGCCACAACGAGGCAAGCCCTTGCGTTCTGGTTACAGCCGTGAGTCAGCCGGCGATGGCATCCCGTCTCCAGAGCTGAGGCGTCGCCTTTGTAGGTGCCGGCCTGGTCCCTCCCTAAATACTTTACCTAAAATACTTTACTGTGCAAGATCTTGGTCAGCACGTCCACTTGCCCCTCCAAGCCCTCATTCTTCCCATCCCATCCACCTTTTACTGACTACCGCAGCCCTCACCTCACCCAACGGGAAAACAATCTGACCAACACCCGAATGCCCCAAACCTAGTATGAGCTGAAATCTGTACAGAGTTGTCAGAATTGTCTTCAGCGATCCCCAACGATGGCATAATCGTGGCTCGTTCCGGGCAGACTTCAAAAGCGCGCAGCCGTCATACGTACATTTGGCTATTACTATGATTATATGAATATACGCGTACAATCCTCACATTTCAACACCCTATATATTGCGACTTGTTGTTCCTGTTACTATCATATGATTCCTAGTTGATTTGGCATTACACCATCGCCGCCGTTGTCGCAACGTGCTACCTCCCTCGGTGTGGAGTTCCGTGTCAACGATGTCTGAGAGCTCCCCCCCGACGTCGTCCGCGATGGATGTCTCTGCAGCCAACACTCCCTCCACTGTGACATCCTCCGTGAAGTCGGCTTCTCATCCGCGGATGTCTCTTGGCCAAGACTACAATCCCAGTCTTACGCCTGCGCCCAACAATCTCCCCATTAACCCGCTGCCATTACCCAACGCCTCTCAGCCTTCGATTACAGGTCCCATCACCCTTGACCCGTTCGCCACGCCGTCGGCAACCCTGAATCCTCGCAGCTGTGTAACATGTCGCCGTCGCAAAGTGCGTTGCGACAAGCACATGCCCTGTGGAAACTGCCGGAAAGCCCAGATACAATGCGTCTTTCCGGCCCCGGGTCGGGCTCCCCGACGACCGCGTGCCAAAGACCCAAATGCCCCCCCAAAGCAGACGAGCGAGCGCGAGATGGAACTTATGAAAAGACTGCGGAAACTAGAAGGCATTGTCGAAGACTTGAGTGGTCAGATTGAGTTCGAAACGTATAAGCATAGTGCTACCAACAGTGAATCGCCCGAAGCGATGCCAGACCTCGTACACGAGAACGAAAGACGGAAATTGACGGCCAGCCCGCCCAGCGAGAGCCCTTCGTTGACGAACAATGTACCCCCGGGCTACCAATTTCGAAGCCGCACCAGTACCGGGAGCTCTATGACCGGTAATCATGCTAATGCAAAGGGGCACCACGTAGCAGACGTCAACAAAGACTTTGGCAAGCTTGTGTTAAACAAGAAGGGCAAGGTAGGATACGTCAGAGATGCGTTCTGGTCCAAAATTACCGAAGAGGTTCGTCTGCCAGACATGAGGCATGTCCTGAACTATTTCTGCAACTATTGCTGATACCCCAAGTAGATCGAAGCTCTCCGATCGGAAACCGAGCAACTTAATGACAATTTTTCCGATTCATCCGGTGACGAAGACTCCTCCGTCGCAGCCGATCGCCATGCCGACAATCACACGGAAAACCAGGGGTTTATGTTCGGGTACAGCTCATCAAACGTCGATTTGCGCAGGCTCCATCCATTACCGTCGCAGATGATGTTTTACTGGCAGATCTACATGGATAATGTCGACCCCCTCGTTAAATTCCTTCATATCCCTACCGTGACCGCGATCGTTAAGGATCTACGAAGCGACATGTCCTCAATAACACCTGGCGTGGAGGCTTTGATGTTCGCAATTTACCTTGCCGCTATCACGTCCATGGAGGCAGAAGAGGTATGCGATTCCAACCACGATTTCGTACACCAATCTAATTTGCCACTAGGTCATGAAAAATTTTGGTGCTGAGAAGCCCCAGTTGATTTCGCGATACCGCTTCGCGACCGAACAGGCCTTGGCTAGGGCAAATTGTGTGACAACCTCTGAACTAGTCGTACTTCAGGCCTTCGTCCTCTTTCTCATTCTCGTCCGACGATATGATCCGAAGTTTTCGTCGATGCTCACTGGCTTGGTGGTCAAAATTGCCCAGTCATTAGGACTACATCGAGACGGGACTCGCTTTGATAACCTGAGTTTATTTGAGACCGAGATGCGACGGAGACTGTGGTGGGCTATCTGCGTCCTGGATGTTCGGTCAGCGGAAGACCAAGGCTGCGAGTTGACAGTTGTCGAGCAGTCATTTGACACACAGTTCCCTCTCAACGTTAATGATGACGACATCAGCCCCAACATGACCGAATTTCCACCAGAACGCACCGGCCCGACAGACATGGCCTTTTGTCTGATCCGCTATGAGATTTGCGCCTTGTCTAGACGATTACACGCGGTATCGAGTGGCTCGGTGCTGCACTCTAGGGAGTCACCCCTCACCGTCGAGGAACGGGAAGACAAGATTATTGAAATGTATGAACACATCGATCGAAAGTACCTACAAGCTCAAAACACCGACTTACTCCATTGGGTATCTGCCACTCTTGCACGACTCATCATGTCTAAAATGAGCCTTGTTATCTATCAGCCCCTCATGCCGTCTACTGGCTCCGGGCTCTCCAGCGATGTTCGGGATCGACTTTTTATGGCATCAATAGAAGTCGTCGAATATAGCAGACTTCTAATCGTAGAACCTAAAGTGAGCCATTGGCGGTGGCTTTTCCAGACGTATCATCAGTGGCATGCCGTCGCGTACCTTCTGTTAGAGGTTTGCCGACGATCTTGGTCAGCCTCAGCTGAGCGTGGATGGATCGCGCTGAATGCTGCGTTTCAAGTTGATGAGAAGCATGAAGTTGCCAGACCTGCCATATGGGCCCAGTTACGAAAGCTCATGATGCAAGCTAAGCGGCATCGAGAAATTGAAATTGCGCGGCTGCGGGCCAACCCGCAAGCCGCCGAAGAGCTGGACATCAAGGAATATAACAAAGTGCCACCTGCTAGTTTCCATCACTTACCCAGCTCTGTGCGTAGCACGCTTGCGCGAGACCGCTGGCGGAAACTAGTTGGCACGAGCGGTCGAGATGAACCCACTGCTTCATCTAGCGTATCAAATAACAATGTCACCTCGGAAACGGTCTCGACGCCCCAGCAGGAGACCCCCAAAGTAGAAGACGTACAATTGAATGACTTGGATCACGCCATGAACGAGCCTTATTTCAACCCAGAAGACATTTTCCCTTTGGTATATCCGGGTAATCCAAACCAGTTTTCGAACCAGGGTGTCTCAAACGGTGGTATTTTGACAGCACCCGGCTTTAATAAATCGACCATCTCCTTCGAGGCTTTCGATACGAGAGGGCACGCCGCAGTCCCAACTCAGGAAGGGCTACCAATGGGGGTAATGGGAACAGCGGGCACAATGACGAACGTGATACGAGATAACCCTCCCCCGTGGCTATGGAACGCACCGACGCCAAACTATACAGGATACAATAACGGCGCGATGGACAAAAGCCAGGACGTCAACATGGATACGGACGAGGTGGTCAACTGGCAGAACTGGATGGATGCGGGGCTGGGTATGAACGGCATTGGTTTCACGGGCGGAATATGAAGTTTTCGTTGGAGGTACCCTTGTTCGCCAATTCTGTTTTTCTCCTTCTCATCTGCTCCGACCTGATAATGCTGCCGTACGAACAATTGAGTCAATTTTCAAAAATTTTAACCGCGGATTCGATCTTCCATTCCTTTCAACCTTCTGTCGCAAACAGTTCTGTGTCCTACCTGGCGAGAGGCACGGCAAACAGCTTGCTAACAGCTTGCTACCTAACAGTAGCGCGACGGACAGTCCGAGAGACACTACTACGTATGAAGGGCATATGATAAGTTCATTGGCACAGCACCGCGAATGCCATTCCCATCACTTTTCCAAATGTCAGAGAGTACCGCGCATGAACAGTCAAGCCAAGACTCCAGTAAGCCGACCACTGCTATGGAGCGGATGCTACTATAAGCTCCCCCCGACTAGGTAGCCAAAACGAAAAGCTTGAAGGGGGGAAATCAGAGTGCTGACGCCAATAGGTGCTGACGCGTTTCACGGAGATATATTTCTAGGTGCCGTATATAGAATTACGTCGTGGATATACATACCTACCTACTTGCATTGTATGTTGATACTTGGGGGGGTTTTACCGGACGCTTTTTTTTTGAATTGATGATGTTGGTGTTTTAGTATTGTTGGGGAGATTGATACCTGTCTGTAGCTATTGCTTGGTTTTACGTTGTTCTTGCTTAGGCATGGTAGGTAGTCAATGCTACTTGTCTTGAAAAAGATTACTTTGGATTGGTCTTTGGGATGGGTTTCTGGTGTTGATTCTGGGTTGTAGAGGTATCGGGGTTTCGCCACGCGCTGTGCGTTTGTGGTGTAGGGGTACCGTGTCCTAGGCCGAGGGGTTCGGGATGGGAATTACGTACATGACGGGACGGCGGTTATGATAGGAATTCACCCTCTGCTAGCAGTGGTTTTGTTACCAACGAAGATTTTGTAGGGGACGTTGCGATAGTATTCAAACCCCGGGATCGCGACGACATGCGCGTAAAGGGCGAAGCAATTACGACAGCAGGGCCGGTGATCAGGGTCTCTACTGGTGCTGACCCCCATATCGGAAACAGGGCAAGATGGCCGAGCGGTTAAGGCGGAAGACTCAAGGGATTCGTCTCCTTTACCTGGTTTAGCAGGGCAGCATTCTTCTGGGGCAACCCGCGTGGGTTCGAATCCCACTCTTGTCAGTTCTTTTTTTTGGGCCGGGGGCTTTGGCGTGGATAATTACGAAGTACGTTGTGTCTTTGCCGTGTTTACCTGGGTTGTTTTGGGTATATGATTGGCATCCTAATGTCGATAGGGATGGAAAACCTTTGAGCGCGGTGGTTAACAATCTGGACGACTCAATGCCTGGCGGTGCCTAATCGTGGACGGATCCCTTATCTTTTGGTGAAGTTGGAGTGATAATACTGCCCTCCGGCTCCGGGAGTTTTGGCCGGCCGACCCATTAAACCGCGTACAGTGAGCGGAACACTGTATTGCACTGGGCACGCGAGTGTGAGGGCTCGGTTTGCCGATCTCGCTATCGTTTTATGTGGCTTCGGACAATAAACGCTAAAATGATCTCTTCTCATCATGACTTGGACTTAGTCTGTGTTGGAACGGTGCAGACGTAGCTATTAACATGCTAGTCTCGAATTTCGGTTTAACCAGGCCCGTCTGTTGACGTGCCGCGTCGGTGCGATCGCGGCCGCAGAATTAGCTGTCGCCGTTCTCGTTCTCGGGGTCGCGGGCGCTGTTCGTGCGCTGGTCGTTGACGTATCCTGCGCCGCAGGTGTCGCAAACTTAGGGAGCCCAGCGGCGGGGCTTGCTGCTGCCATGTTTGTGGCCGCGGTGGCCATGAGGGTGATGATGATGGCGGCGAACTGCATTTTGGAAAGGTTTGTCATCCCTTGGTGCATACCTATCGTCATGCCTCGCCTCCTCGGTCTCTTCAACCTTCTCCAGACGACGCTTCCTGAGAGCCGACTAGATATCGTGCGCCGGATCAGTTTTCTTCATCCCGAAGGTGAAGAGCCCAGAATCAGATTCTGCGCGTTCTAACTCTGCTTGCGCCCCATTGACCTAGCCCAAACCCATCGTTGCTCGCTTGGCTCAGTGCGTCGTCTAACACGCCTATTCTACCCAACGAGCTCTTGCCGCGTCCTTGAAGGGAAAAGGCTGACCCCGAGACGAAAGAGTGGTGTCTCGCGGCAGTTGATTCTATATGACGCTTTCCCCTCCGACCAGGGGCCGAGGTCGATACTATCTAGAGGGTCTATTACTTTGATCTATTTAAATACCGAACATCGCTTAACAAAACCAGCCTTACAACCAGACACCGGAAAGCCAAGCCGCAGAGAAACCAGAGCGCAGTCCTCAAGGGGTATGTATAGAACTCTAATAAAGCGATGCCAGCAACAGGGGCGACTCGTCGGTCTTTATTTTCCAGTATATTGGAGCACCGGTTGTCAATTTGTCAATTTAGGTACTATCGCTCTCCTTCTTCTGCTCATTCCGAAAACTAGCATCACGATACCGGTGATAATGATACCTAATACGTAACAATATTGGTAATTTTCGTCCTCTCTCTGTCGATACGAAGTCCTTCACCAAGTGTGTTTCTTGTTTTCTAGACTATGGGGCGTCTTCGGACTTTTATACCTATCTGGTATAAAGCCGCTTCCTTACTAAGCGAGTGGAGTTGTCGATGGCATCACCGACCCGGATAAAGTCGTCCATGACTCTGATGGACTTGCCTCAAGCATCGTAGCACGTTATCATACCCAAAATGTCTCATAACATCCTCATCACCGGCAGCTCCGGCTACCTTGGCGGCACTCTCCTAGCCCGTTGGAACACGGCAGGCCTTCCGGCTTACAACAAGCTCTACGCCCTCGTGCGCACTCCGGCACAAGCCGAGGCCGTTAAGCAATACGGGGCGGAGCCCCTCACCTTCGATGTAAATGACGAGGCCGAGGTCCGGACGGCGGTGATTAATAACAACATCACCATCGTTTACTACTTGATCGCCGTACGACCCCACACTTCGCAATCGTATTTCCTCAAGGCCCTGGCCGAAGTGAAGAAGAACACCGGGCTCGACGTTCATTTCTTGCAGGTAGGTAACCCGCCGTAGGTTTGCGTACGCAAGTGACAAGAAGTCCCCTTTGTCTGATGACAATAGACTTCCGGCGCCAAGATCTTCTCCTCTCACGCCGGTGCACCGACCGATAAACCCCTTTTCGATAGCGATCCTAGCCTGTACGAGATCCATCAGGCCCAGAAGGCTCCGATCGGGTTGATACAGGAGGTCAGTATATATTGACCCCAGGTCTCCGTCTCCCGTCCCGTAGCCAACTCTATTTTAGGCCGTGTACACCAACGGCTTCGTGATCGATGAAGCGGAGAAACTCGGCATCCGAAGCTATGTGTTCGCGCCTTGCATCGTGTGTAAGTTTCTTCGCAAGCCCTCTTATTTTCTTTCTCGGCTTTTGTAGGAGCTATGGCGGATCATGCGCTGATGTTGTTTATTTCGACAGATGGCGAAGGCGAAGGCTTCGGGAATAAGATCTCGATCCAGACGGTGGCGATCGTCCGCGCCGCTGAAGCCGTGAAGCGTGTGTATAGCGTTGACGCCAATAAGCCCGTGAGTGAAGCTATGCCCTATATTCTCTGTGGTTTTCGGAATACTGAATCATGCAGACTTGGCCCGTGTGCCACGTCCTCGACAACACGGGCTTGTATCTCGAGCTTGCGCGCAGGATCCTGGCTGGAGATAACCCGAGCCACGGAAAGAATGGCTTCTATCTTGCTTCGCCGGGAAGCGTTGCCGTGAGTCTTGGTTGTTGTTTACTGCGGTTTCCTTATGATTAATGCCTGATATTTTAGTGGGATGATCTGTATGCCGCTATCGCGGCGTCACTAGCGAAGCGCGGTCTTGTGGTCGACGACGAGGTGGTACCGGCGGACGAGCAAAATCTCAAAGATATGGGCGCCGCTCTTGGGTGCCCTCCTAATCTGGTGTCCCTCCATATAGGAGGACGGTTAGTCACATTGTCTTGATCCTTTTTGGTTGTCTACCGTGGTCGCTAATCTTATGTGACAGCTGCACTTTCACTGCGGATCGTGCATCGAAGGAACTTGGGTGGAAGCCTTTGTACAAACCTGAGCACATCCTAGAGAACGCCGATACTGAGGTCGATATCATTCTTCGCTACAAGAAATGGTAAACTTTATACTTTATATTCTACTTCTGGCGAGACGAGCCAATTACGGGCCGAAGCTTGGGTAGACGGGTGTACCGCTGCTATGTTAAGATATCACCAGCTTCTCGATCTGCAGACCTGAACAATGCTAGAAACATTGAACCGATGCTGCCTACATGAATAAAAGGGGCAGAATGCAGTTGTCTGGCACTGGCGTATATATGAAGACAGCTGTAAGGGCGTCAAGGTACGTACTCCTAGCACTGAGCCTCTTCGTGACCAACCCAATTGCCATGACAACGCACACACGGAATAGCAACAGGTAATGGAACGGTGGGTACCTGATCCCAGGTAATGCTCCTGGTTCCAGGAGCTCTCAGTTAATCACAAAGCAGCAACTAGAGCCCTATAAACCCGGTTAACTCTGTCCCTCCTCCAACAGGGGGTACTCCCTCGACCTCGTGGTCTAGGGGATATCGGCGCGTCTCTGTACTGCAGGCAGAAACCCCATATCACAGATCTTAGAGCATGGGGGTTCGACGGAGGGGGATGGTGGAGGGACTCCCAAACCAAATCTTTTTTTTTCTTTTTCGTGTTTTCGTTTTTGGGTTCTGCTGGTCTTCCCAATGCTCTAGGTTCATTTTAAGCAATTTTTCCCAGCGGAAAACCTTGTGTTCGTGGATGTCTTGTTGATGTAGTGCCTTCAAATAACCCTCTATCTTGATGCTATTTGGTGGATAGCAAGCCGTGCGTCTTTTCAACGCACGCCTTGACGCTTGTGTTGGTATGCCCCAGCTAACGACAGCGATGTCATATAGGGAGCATGCTCTGTTGAACTTGATTACGCTTACTTAAACATATTTCACAGGCACCTAGATAGTATTATCCGCCTATTTTTCACCGGTCATGTGTAGCAACTCATGAGGTAAATTGTCTGATTTTCTTGAACTAAATACTTACTACATTATGACTGACATGAGAGAAACAACTACAAAATTCCAGTAATCGAAGATAGGTAAGTCACCCAACACAAACGACGCCATCCCAAATCTTGCTCCCTTTCTTTACATATAGCGCCGAACCCCTATCCCCGTGCCATCTTCAAGCCGAAGCCAGCTCCTACCCCGGGGTTGGACTAGCTCATGTAGTCACCCGGTTACCAAGCAAGCATGTGATGCCTCCAGGGGAGACCTCAAACCACTCACCACCTACACCAATTCAACAACCACTCACGGCGTAGCGGCGGCAGCGGCAGCGGCAGTAGCAGCAGCAGCGGCAGCAGCCCGGCTCCCAAACGAAAACAAGCTCCCGACGTGTCCAATCGCATGCTGCACGATACCAATCGGCGTCTCGTCTCTAAGCGCGAGCGCCCAAGCCAGGATGAACCGAGGCAGCGTGTCGATGATAATAATGTCCAGCCAGACAAACGGCGCGCACATATACGTGAAGACCCGTATGTTGCTAGAGCGAAGGTACAGCAGGACGTTAAGAAGCACCAGGAACAGCATGTTGAAAACCTGCATCTTGACGTAGAGCCAGGGGCTCTGGAAGATGCGCATGCCGGACGCCCGCAGGGCGAGGTACACGAAGGCGTCGATGAGCAGCGCCTCGGGGGGCTTGATCAGGAGGCCCCCGTACAGGTACCGCTCGGCCACGGTGGTGGGTTCGCCGAAGATGCCGCGCACGACGTACGAGGAGACCAGGCTCAGCGTCCAGAAGATCCAGAACTTGTCGAGGGTGTCGGGCCATAGCGGCCAGACGATGCCGGACGTGGCCGAGCCGTCCGGGGCCCAGTAGCGGCTGCGGTACGGCAGGAAGCCGCCGGGCATGCGGTCCCACGCGATCTGGTTGAGGTGCGCCTCGAGCGGGACGCCGTCGTCGCTGCCGTCGGGCGCGTGCACGAGGCCCTGGTAGTACACGACCTTGCACCGGGAGAGCACCGTGATGTGCATGCCCTCGCCCAACGCGTGCGCGTCCGGCGACAGCATGTCCCGCGGGTC